TGGATCTCATCCCTAAGGGCTCGAAGAGCATCGCGAGTCACCGGACGGCGGTCGACCCGGTCGTCACCGCCCGCCACCAACTCCTCGATGAGAACGGTGACGTCCACTAACATGTGGAACGTCTAGTGAGATGACGTCGTTACCAGGGTCAGTTCCAATATCTGGTGAAGTGGCGGGTATATCAAAAACTCGTGGGAGTTTGAGACGCCACTCCGGCAAGATTGCCCAGACGCCGTGGACGCTTTTGATCAAAAAGATCAGGATGCCTCGCGCTTCCCAACAATAGCCAGGGACGTAGGGGGCCATGAGCTAAGCTCAAGCGGTGACCCTGAGCTCTTGCGGTCGCAGACACAGAACTCGCGGGAGCGTTAGGGGTTGACCCATACGCTGCAGGGCGACAATCTAAAGGAAGTCGACGGCGTGCTTTGAGTTTGGCAAACTCAAATTGGATGTGGCGCTCCACACGCACGTCCACTTCCTTGTGGCTCAACTGTAAGGCATACAGCGAGGAAAGGTTTTTCGGTGCCGTTGCACCCATCGCCCAAAGAGCACTTCGTCATCTGAAGCGCTTTCGCCAGGGGCGAGCACTACAGGTATCGCCCGCATCGCGGGTACACGAGAGCCACCTCGTTGAGCACGTAGACGAGTGCGATAAACGTCCAACGGAATTTCTTGTGGGACAAAGAAACGAGCTCGAAGAGCGATCCGTTTGGCAAGCCCAGCTTCCGTAAAGGCCGGGGGCTCGATGATTTGGACGCGTAACGATCGAGCTACCGCGTTCTTCGCTTCCATAGCGGAATCCGCCGGGCGGAAGCCATATTTTACACGAGGGTCAATCAATGACTGACCGTCCATCCAACCAGTTATTGACCCTCGTGTAAAATATGGCTTCCGCCCATCCCCGCCCATCCATCCGGAGCCACCTTACGGGCAGCCAGCAGCTGCTGCCCCGGTGCCTTGTCGAGGTCATTGGTGATGACGCCACGTCCCTCAGGTGATAAGAGATCAGGAAACGGACGTGGAGTCCGCAAGCGAGCAGGGCTCGTATCACGCCGCTGGCGCAGCTCGCCTTCCTCGTCATTCCACCTGGGAAAAGGAGTGT